CCCTCTGCAATGGCAATTCTTTACAGAAATGCTGTTGTCATACGAGCGTCGGTCAAATAGTAGTCGGCCTTACTATATTCTCGATGTCCAGTGTTTGAAAGCTTCCATTTTATTTTGAAGGCATCATTAGTAAAGCCATATCCAACGTTTCACATAAGTGGGTAATGTGGTTAACCAGATATTAATCAGCACAACACATCGAAGTATACTATTTCTAAAACATTTGCAAAAAATGATATCTTTGCAAAAATTCTATTGCCATATGTTTCGCTGTTGTCTCTTTGTCAGATGTGTATTTAACGTTTGTCACAGTTATGGCAGCACATGCTCACCTTTGTCGACCCCCTAGAATCATAACTGTATAATATGTTTGTTAAGGTGTTGGACAGTCTCATTATATTGTTTTACCATTCATAACTTGATGACATTTTCGAGTGGGGCGTGACTGGTCCTTAACGGCAAACAGAAACCCTCTCTGTAATCGCGTGACCAGCCATGTGACATCTCGTGATAGGTGTCGCTAGTGTGTCAGTCATGCTCAGTACATTCCCCGATCAGACGCCAAATATCGGAAGAGAACAAAACAACGAGTTTAACCGGCGATTCGGTAATTGCTGAACTTTGTTTTAAGATTTATAATGCTTTGAAACGCCACGACCACTGAGAGCGGCGTATTGGTGACTTACAGAACAGTGCGGCCGCTCCTGAGGGTCAACAACTGACCGCGCGAGGTCTGACGTCACCAGTTAACCTTTGTGACAAAGTGCTCACATTCAAACATTTTCTCCTTGACTGTGTGGACTTTTCAAATGCAAGGGATTCACACTATCTCACCATATATCTAAAACATCTGTTTTCCCACGTGAACGGGTATCTCACTGAGAACGGAATGGATACATGTTTTAAGATTGGTAATTTAAAGTAACAAGTTGAATCCATGCCGATCTTTAATTGATCGACCAATTTCACTAACAAGCTGCGTTTGCAAAACCATTTGATGATAATCTATAATCAATAATTGTTCAGCTTGGGATTTGGATATTAATGACTGAGGTAAAATCAGAAGTACCATCGATCACATAGTGTGTTTAGAATCATTCATCAAACATTGATAAGTGTTTATCTCTGCTCGATCTATAAAGAACCCAAATCAACGCGCCTTAATAAGTCTCATGGCTTCTCACTTTTCATAATTAACATTTCTATATCATGCTTGGTGTTTATATGCACTGGGTGCCCTGTCACTAACAATTTGTTGCCTTATCTTGGCATGTTATGTCTTTTACATTTCACGACTTATGTGTGCACTAATTTAGCATGTTGTGCCACAACTTTGCAGTATTAATTACTATCTTTAAGAGGGAAGCTTCATCAATCCCAATCTGAGCCTGCTTTTGAGGCTTATTGTGTTAATACTAATACCTGTAACCAATATTCCATCTATGTCTACATCCACCTTCGGTTGGTATCCATGTAACCTGATTTTGCTGGAATATACATACATACTTTGTACTTACAATGTATTTGCACAAAACGTGTTCGCCAAATGTGATGCAGTTCAGTCATGCCACGAGAGAGTTCCATGTTTGCAAAGATCGGCTAAGCTGTTGAAATGCAAGAATATGAAAATGCAGGAATAAAACCCAGTCTACATGCAACATTTAGATAGAGAAATATGCCAATAAAGTTACTCTATGTGATTCAGATGGGTGTATTTCAATCTTATAATGATACTTGGGAGCAAACCTGAGGAACTGGCGGACAGTTTATACAATCAGAATTCTCTGAGCACCTTGTAGAGACTATCGGGTGAAATCTGTCGTGTATCAACTTCCATGCCAATGTCTATGGTAGCCATTTGAAACAACTGTGTGTGATCCTCTTGTACCATTCTAAAAATATAGCGCTTCAGTATTTTTTCAGTTGCTTCCAATTCTTACTACGTTTTAAATCGTGTGAGGGAGTGAGTGAGGGTTTTAGACATATTCCAGCTATATTACGGCGGGGGACACCATAATCGGGCTTCACGAGTTTTTAATCAAAGAACAAATGTTCTTTTAACACCTGGCTAAATTTGCCCAAAACCGCCAACAACTGTAGGCATTGTGTGAAATGAGCTGGGAAAGCTACTATTTGACACATATTCATATCTTCCTTTCGTTTCCTATCACTGTGTCGATTTTATAGATACAATCTGGCTGAAATAAACCCAGTGTGACTTTAAGTTTTAACTCACGCAGTACTTGTTTCTTTTAAGGGGATGTTTGTTAAGGGCTAACAGTACATAAAATATACGTTCATCAATTTTGTATTTGGTTTACTTCTATGTTTAATCTAAATTAATGTTTTCGGAAATGTAGCAAATATCAGAAATTGATCTTTCGATTAAGGACGATTTATTAAACGAAATCTATCACTTTCTAACATGGCAGATATTTTGATAAACGTGTAATCCGTTCCGATGTTTTTAAGTTTGACCAATATTTCTTCCCGAATGTAGGTTATCATATATATTTTTATTAACTCGTTTTATGTCGGTGAAGTTATTTGCAGGGTGAGGTGGGGGGAGGAGAGTTTCCATTTTAAAACTAAATCATACATAAATATATTTTTTTTGACTGATGACTTTTGATCGAGACAAAATCAATTTCTAGCATGTCTGTAAAAACTGACAAATTAATTTCGATTCTATAGGCTTAATCAATGTTTTTCTTGAATGTATTAGTATCAAACAAAGTTTTTATTACATATGCATTTTTTTATTCTTGATATTTAATCTACATGTTTGATGATGTCAAATTCATCAAGATCAAGATTACTGAGCAAAACTGAAAAATTGACACTCGGCATTTATTGGACTAGGTTTTTAATATTAGATTTAACACAATAATTTTAGTTGTATGCTGTGCATAGAACATGTTGACATCAAAGGACAACAAAATACATGTCTCCCTGAAACTCTTTAACAACGACAAGGTTCAGGATGTCAAGGTACCCGTTCACAGCGTGGAGAACCATTCGATTGGGGTCTTCAGTATGGGTTGTGGCCTCCTCTGGCGTCTCTTACAGCCTCACAACGTCTCCTCGTGGATCTTAGAACGTTCATGATGTCAAGGTACCCTCCAAAAGGAAGTTCACAGCGTGGAGAACCATTCGATTGGGGTCTTCAGTAAGGGTTGTGGCCTCCTCTAGCGTCTCTTACAGCCACACAACGTCTTCTCATGGATCTTAGTAAACACATCCCGAGGAAGACGTGACGTTGAAGATGTCTGTGGTGATATTCATTTGCTGACGAACACGTCGAGCTAGCTCTTCCCAGATGTGTTCGATGGGATTGAGGTCGGGGCTACGCGACAGCCATTCCAGAAATTAAAGCATTCACACTGTTTACTGCTGTCTAATATAATTGTATATATGTTTGATTAAACAGAAAAACAAACTGTCGAAATTTATAAATGTAAAGTTATCAATTATGCGGAGAATAACATTTTTTGTGTGCATTTTCAAGTTATGGATATTTGATCTGCACTCGTTTTATGACAGTGAAGTCATCTTGAAGTGTTACGGCCTCTTGCAGAGGGAACCTTCTCGGAACTTCGAACAGACTTTCGTCATCGTCGGATATCTGAACTAGACACGAACCAATTCAGTTTCATTAAAGTGACCCGTCAACTGTACATTAGGGCCAAATACAATGTATATATATAATCGAACACCTGCTACATCTTTGATATTTTCTCAGCATCAAAAAAGAAAGGTTTGGTAGCGCAGTGGTTAGAGCCTTCGCTCTTCACACTGAAGATCCATTTTGTTCGTGGGTACAATATGTGAAGCCCATTTTTGGTATCCAATGCTGTTGCTTGAATATTACTAAGAGCGGCGTAAAAGCTTTCTTAGTCACTCAGCACACAAACTATTTTAACAGGGCCGTTGAACAATTCCATATTTTCAAGCCTCAGCCACCCAACCTAATCTGTCATATACCGCTCAGATAACGTAGTGGTTCATGATAAAGGTTCAGAGTGCCCACCACTATAATATTGTTGATAAGTCGACTCGGTCGATATTTCTGCAGGTTCCCTGAAGTCCCCGAGTTCCGTTTTACATTCAGTAACATATATAAGAATGCTGAGTCACCTGCAAAAGAAATATTTCGTCCGAAACACAAAAACTGAAGGTCGATATGTTGTAAAACAAATGTATTTTCCAAACAATTTTTTTCATAAACGTCAGAATTTCTATACTTTACACCGTAGTCGTAATTATAGATTATCTGACTGCATTTTCCGGTTCATCCATCTTTTGGGTTATTTACAGTATTGTGGTATTGCTGTGCAGCGTCAGGCTAAATGTTTATATATTCAGGAATATAGTGTAAATAGCGGGTGCTAATGGTAGGGCGGGACAGGCTTAACCTTTTCACGAACAACTGGTGTCAACACTGATTTCAGTGATCCATTCATATAATGCTCACATGTATTTTCCCCGTTACACCAAACGGAATTGGTTTCTGAGGATAGTCATGACTCGGTATACTTTTGCAGAGACAGTCGATATTGAATATTCCTCACTGAATAAACATCTAAATGGATGCTGCAGCAGACCTCATTTGCACGTGTTTATTTGCACACATCCTGCCAGGACCTACCAGGAACTGAGTCTCTGTCAACTTGATGTAGAGGACTGACGTCACGTGTGGTGTGAGCACGGGGTTGGAAGACCTCACTTCAGCTCCCCATGACCCCTCAGCAGTATTGTAGATGACGGTATAGGGCGACCAGCGAGCAGTCAGAACAAACACCACATTACTCTTGCGTACAGATATATTGTAGGGCTGAAGATAAGATGATTGTATTCACCAGATATAACACGACGACACAAACGTTGTCTGTTATTTGTATTCCTCTTAGATGAGGTATTAGCTGGTTATCAGTTTGTATCCAGTGATCATCATGAGCATCAGTCGTGTATTTGTGACACGATAACAATCATCAACCAAGTTGCTCGACAAGCATGAGTTGCTAAAGTCCAAATATTTCGTGCCTGGCTATGGATCATTGCCCATACACCCCTTCTCTATTACTAACAACCTGACTTTAAATGGTAGACATTTTCCGGTGTTAATCATACATAATTCAGACCTGTGTCTGTCTTCTCATCAAATCATATCAATTTCTAAACGCATCATTACTCACAGGCCCCGAAAGTTCCACATGCATTAAACAACACATCAATCAAAATGCTGATGATTGTGAACTTCACAAACACCTACATGTTGAGTAAGTTTCGTTTCAGCGATATACCTACAAGCTGACCCCACCTGCGGCTGCCTCCACGATAATCTCCGCACCACTGGCCAGGGGAGCAGGGAGAGGCGTCCTGAATACTCGCACCTGTTGTAAAGAAGACAGTGAGCAGGTGTGTGTTATATAACAACTAGACAGGGAAGCAGGGAGAGACGTCCTGAATACTCGCACCTGTTGTAAAGAAGACAGTGAGCAGGTGTGTGTTATATAACAACAAGACAGGGGAGCAGGGAGAGACGTCCTGAATACTCGCACCTGTTGTAAAGAAGACAGTGAGCAGGTGTGTGTTATAGAACAACAAGACAGGCGTGTAAAATGTTATGCAGAACTGTAGCAATATGTATGCTTTTCTTTCAGTGCTTTATCCTGACGAAGTAAAGTAAACCCTTATGACACGTATATCATCGTATCTTTTGGGTCTTTGTAAAACTAGATTGATTTATAATTACGGTACAGTTCTTATCGGCCATCATTGTATTTACAGTAAGTTAACATGAAAAACATGAAGTGATGTATGTGTTGGAGGACGTGGACATAAATGTGTTAAGTTTCCAGACACATGTCACTGTACCGGGTCAATCCAGAGGGTCTGCATGCACCGTCCTATATCTAAGGGTACGTTGTCATGGAAACATTTGCCTGACGTGGTCGGTAGATAGGAGAATCCGTTGGAGCAGGTGACATCCTCGTGGGTCTCGTTCCTCATCACCGAGAGTGCATTCAGGATCCGGAAGTCGCTGCAGGCAACTAAACACAACACAGATTCTACATCAGTCTCATCATGAACTACTTGTTGACAATTCCGACCTGTCAATACAGGATACCATGCTGAAACAGTTATTCAGTCTTTGTTTTTCTGCTGTTACATAAGCTGTACCTGTTGGATATTGGGCAGATATATCCTCAGCAATCAATGCCCTTTTGTACAGTGACTCACGTCCATGAAGTGGTAACATCTTGAATGTGGCACTGAAGAACGGTGTTGTATTTGTATTACATTGTTTCTGTTAATATTCATCGCAGGACATTGCTGTGCTGGTTACTATATTTAGGCAGAGACCATATATATAGTATATTATATGGTCTCTGATTTAGGATTAAAGACAAGCCTGGTGTGGAAATTCCAAGGTCTGTAGAAAATGCCAGAATACAGAACTTTGCTGTATATACAAGGGGAGCCAGCTCCCGCCTCATCTCCGGTTACATCTCAAATTACACGAACATCACTTTTCGCCCAGGGTTCCTAGCAACCACTAACAGCTTGTCTTTATATCTGCTGTTATAGAATACTGCCTGTGCATTTGAACTCTTATTAAAATTGGAGCTTCCTCTCTATTTTGTAGTAGTTCTTAGTAGTATGATTTGTAAACTTAGATACGTTGAAAATACAATTGCTAATTATCCCACATTTCTTTGTTGCTTGTTTCCCAGCGAGTTCCCCATTTTCAGTTATTTTTAGGATTCTAATAAATTGTAGATGTAATGTGGCAAATGAATAATAGGATACACTACGCTTGTGACGAACTCAGAGGGAGCACTAGTTTCAGTTCGTTATAACCGTGGTTCGTTATAACTGTTGTTCGTTATAACTGTGGTTCGTTATAACTGTGGTTTGTTATACACCTTTATGCACAAAATGCACGGATCGACAAAAACACTGTCCACACTGTCGTCAGTTTCTTCTACAAGTGTTCTGTTTTGAATGTTGTTAGCCGTATATTGATCTTAACTAGTTCTTGGCAGTTCTGAAATAAACGCATCTACAGACAGAATCGATGTAGATTGTAACCTTTTTACGAAGCTCAGAAGGTACCAAACATCTTAACGATCTCATCAACACATTGTGTAGACTTATTGTTGCAATAAACATGCATGCATATCCAATTTGTAATGGTCCATTTATTATACCGAGTGGTTTGGATTAATTATTATCTCATGTATTGTGAACAGAGAGTGGAATGCTGAGGGGGCTATTCTGACTGGTTCATGCAATGGTTTTCCACGCTTTAGACGACAATATGTCTGACGCTTAATAGCACAAACATGGTAAAAACTCTAGTACATCATCCTATATAAGAGATGAAGTCTTCTTAATTAACGCCAGGCTACAGACGCCAGAAACCAGACTGAAACCACCTGACTGCAGATCAATGCAGATTCATGCCAACACGTTCTTAAACAAGGAGTGTACGTTATACTGGCAGATATTAAAACAGACGCAACCAAATATTATGTACGTTCAGCAAGTGAGTGCGTGCGTGAGTGAGTGATTTTAGAACACATCGGTAGCATTTCAGTCATATCGTGACTAAATCAAGTTTGATTGATAGTAATTGAAAGTACATTTTAAAATAATGCAAACGATGGACAGTAAAACAACTAGATTATCACAGATATAAATTTGAAACTAGTAATTAAACATTTTAACTTTTGATGACAATAGATTGCCAACAACTGAAGGTAGATCACCATACTACTACTGATAAAAATAATGCATTTCTGTAGCACCTGATATCAAACTGAAAGCTGCTCAGCAGTGCATTACATAAATACTAACATGAATCATCACAGAAGTTAAAATGTCTTGGAGAAAATGTTTTCATGGATTGGCGGAAAAAGTCAGTTGAGTTTGCAGATCTGCCTTCAAAAGGGACACTATTCAACAGTGCTGGGTCTGCCACAGAGAAGGCATGACCAGCGAGCTGAGATCTAATGACTGGGACAGGGAGCTGTGACTGTACTGGGGACCGGCGGTTTCGTGGTGGAATAGAAGGAGTGAGGAGTTCCTTCAAGTAGGTCGGGACTGTCCCACAGTGAAGAGCAGAGTAGGTTGGGGCTGTCTCACAGTGAAGAGCAGAGTAGGTCGAGGCTGTCTCACAGTGAAGAGCAGAGTAGGTCGGGGCTGTCTCACAGTGAAGAGCGGAGTAGGTCGGGGCTGTCTCACAGTGAAGAGCAGAGTAGGTCGGGGCTGTCTCACAGTGAAGAGCAGAGTAGGTCGGGGCTGTCTCACAGTGAAGAGCGGAGTAGGTTGGGGCTGTCTCACAGTGAAGAGCAGAGTAGGTCGAGGCTGTCTCACAGTGAAGAGCAGAGTAGGTCGGGGCTGTCTCACAGTGAAGAGCGGAGTAGGTCGGGGCTGTCTCACAGTGAAGAGCAGAGTAGGTCGGGGCTGTCTCACAGTGAAGAGCAGAGTAGGTCGGGGCTGTCTCACAGTGAAGAGCAGAGTAGGTCGGGGCTGTCTCACAGTGAAGAGCAGAGTAGGTCGGGGCTGTCTCACAGTGAAGAGCAGAGTAGGTCGGGGCTGTCTCACAGTGAAGAGCAGAGTAGGTCGGCGCTGTCTGACAGGGAAGAGCAGAGTAGGTCGGGGCTGTCTCACAGTGAAGAGCAGAGCAGGTCGGGGCTGTCTCACAGTGAAGAGCAGAGTAGGTCGGCGCTGTCTGACAGGGAAGAGCAGAGTAGGTCGGGGCTGTCTGACAGGGAAGAGCAGAGTAGGTCGGGGCTGTCTGACAGGGAAGAGCAGAGAAGGTCGGGGCTGTCTCACAGTGAAGAGCAGAGAAGGTCGGGGCTGTCTCACGGTGAAGAGCAGAGAAGGTCGGGGCTGTCTCACAGTGAAGAGCAGAGTAGGTCGGGGCTGTCTCACAGTGAAGAGCAGAGTAGGTCGGGGCTGTCTCACAGTGAAGAGCGGAGTAGGTCGGGGCTGTCTCACAGTGAAGAGCAGAGTAGGTCGGTGCTGTCTCACAGTGAAGAGCAGAGTAGATCGGGGCTATCTCACAGTGAAGAGCAGAGTAGGTCGGGGCTGTCTCACAGTGAAGAACAGAGTAGGTGAGGGTCAGAATTGTGAAGAATACACGTTTCTGGATTGGGAGCCAGCGAAGATGTTTCAGGATAGGTGTGATATGCCCATGCTGTCTGGTACGGGTAATGACTCTGAATACTTTGTTCTGGACTCCTTGTAGATGTGTGATGGCTCCAGATCCTAACAGGAGAGCAGTATTCCAGATAGGATGTGATATATACATGCACAAGAGTTTTGGTGGTATCAACATACAGGTATCTTCTAATTTTTCAGATGGCACAAAGTTTGAAGTTTGTGGTTCTGTGATTCTTTAGAACTTGAGTCTTGCTGCACATACACCTGTCCATTTGAACACCCAGCTTCCTGCCAGATGTGGAAGGTGCTGCGGAAGATAATCCAACCGAGAGCGTGTGTCTTTCAGTTTATTACGTTCGTGGGGCGTCCCGATCATGAGAGTTCAGTTTTGTCACTAGTGAGTTTATGAACGTTTGATGACATCCAATTATGAATTTTGCAAACACGTTCCTCTAGCTGTGAAATTCTTTTCCTGATATTTAATGTCAATGTACAGGAGTTTGTCATCAGCATAGCTATGGAACTGGAGTGAGTACTGTCGAATAATGCCACCTAGAGGTTTTGTGTAGATTGAGAAGGAGAGGGGCCAAAAACCGACCCCTGTGGAACCCCGCACTTCAATTCCTTGTTGTCTAATGTGACACCAGCAACTAGGACGGACATGGACCTCTCATCAAGATATGGCTCAAGTCATGCCAGAGCTGTTCCTTTAATCCCAAACGTGTACCGGATGTCAAGATGTTGTCTACTGAGTCAAAAATGACCAATCCCTCTTGAAGCATTATGGCACCATGCGAGTGTCCAGGGAGCATCTGATGACTGAACATGCATGCAGTGACATAATAGCCACGCTGGAACTGGGCCAAGAGAGCAGGATTTACAGGGTGCTGTCCGAACTATGCTGGTCACATCCAGTTCACTGACAGGAATGAACCCCTAAAGGGTGGTACCACTGAACTCTGTGTCGTCTGACAGATTGTCCTGATGAGACTGTTGGTTTGAAGTTTCCGCACATTCTCTGGAAACAAAACAACCAAGCGATTAGCATGCAGGTTGGAATATGAATTACACCTTCCAGAACAGGCTTCCCTGACTTCTGCTAACTTCTTCACGATCGAAAAATGCTGTTTGGAGTTGTGTCTGTTCTCACTGATGTTGTCCTTTATGACAGAAAGTTAGGATTTCTCGATGGGTACCTTAACATTACTGCGAGCATGTAGGAAGCTTGTCTGTGGACCACAAGTTTGGTATTCCGCCAGGTCCTCTCAGCTCGTCCTCGTTCATGCTTTGCTGTCAATACTCGTATGTCCTTGTTAATCCTGGCTAATTTAGGCTACATGATGATATTAGCAGTTCTTACAGGAGCATGTAAGTCCAGAATTTCCCTCATTGCTTCGTGGTATGCTACTGCTCTCTCGTCAGCTCTACCTTCACATGAGGATGTTACACCAAGGATTGGTTGACTCTCGTCAGCACTACCCTCAAATGAGGATGTTACACCAAGGTTTGGTTTACTCTCCAGATACCTTCTCACATCATTGTGGAATTTGTCAACATCAGTATTGCGGGTCTTTCTGTACGTAATTGATTTCCGTACAGGCACTGTGTAAAGCGCAAAACAAACTTGAATGATCAACTGATAACAGCAAGGTGTCAGCCTTAATGATGACTGGGTTTAAAGTATGTCCGCTACACTACTAGGGTGCGTGGTGACTTTCTGTATGGACCTCAGCTGGATCTACACCATCTCTTCTGATGTTAGCAATTTCGTTGATCAAGGATGGACTTCTGGCCCCTCCCATAGGACAATACCTTCAAAATTATTTAACCGCCAGAATGGCACCTCCGTCAATAATCCCAAATGATAATGTTATGCTTACTTTACAGCATTTTCAAAATGTATCTAGTGGTTTTAATTCTGAGAATCTGAGCATAACATTAACACCAATTTTCGAACAGGCGTGAGGAAATCTGCGTAACTTTAGTAGTTTTGAGAACACCTGTCCGTGCAGTGTAGACTAAGTTGGAGGAGATGGAAATCAGGACATATCTAATTTGAGACACTAATTTTCGAACTCATTTAGATCGTTACCAGTTACTAAGTGTAACTTTCAGGCCCTCAACTTTAGTAGTTCTTATGAAAAATAGCCCCATTGAGAAGTGGCCGTGACAGGAGATAATTAGACTTCCAAAATGACACTCAGAGCAACTTCTCTGCGTATTTTTTTGAAAAGTTGGACTGAAAAAATAGTGAGTTAAAATGTAACCTTCATTTCAAGCATATTGGGGCGGTGGCGTAGCCTAATGGGTAAGGGTCCGCTCGTAAGGCGGAAGAATTTCCCACATGGGTACAATGCGCGAAGCCTATTTCTGGAGTCCCCCCACCTTAATATTGCGGGAATACTGCTAAAAGTGGCGTAAAACCATACTCACTCACTCACTCACTCAAGCATATAGCAACCCTCACATGTTAGGGCCTTATTTCCTGTTTTTGCCACCTGCATATACCACATGTTATAAATATATGGGCTCTAACTGAAGATGGAGGAATAAGTTTTGTACTGACAAGGTGACACACAAATCGTTTGAAATGTTGAACTGATATAACAGTTAGCTGACATGTAAAGTGGCATAGGCATTATTTCAATCATATAGCGACACAGACATATTAGCAACAAACCAAACCATTTATTCTGTATTTGTGTTGAGGCCAGGTGCGTTTGTCCCATGCATATATAACATGTTATAAATATAAAACGTCCAAAGGAACACCCAGTCTTACACACCCGTGTGGTGTAAAGGAAATAAAAGCAGTAAAAAAGTATATAGATAGAGCACTGAAAATCGGTCGTTGAGACCAGCTATTGGCGAAAGGATACGGCATGCCCTTGTCTCCTGGTACCGCCCGCCATTCACAAAAATTTGCCTAAAACTGGAAACATATTTTGCCTGACGCTACACATCAGTACACCTGCCATGCACAGGTAAACAAACCAGATAATCCAGTGATCGACGTGCCGGAAAATCCAGTGAGATAATTTAAAATTCAGACTGTTCAGACGATCGGGAAATACATTTGTTTTACAACACATCGGTTATTTAATGCAATAGATTCTACGAAAAGGAAAACAACGCATATTGTGGCAATAATATCTTCATTACAATATTATGAAGGGACGTTATTAGGCTTGAAACAAACGTGAATTTCCTCTAAAAATCCAACAATTTTTCAGATCTCTGTGCCTTTGGTTTGTAAAAGCAACATTTGATGCAAAAGTAATAAATATTTAAATAAACAAGAACAATAAATAACATAACCCCTTTGACTTCTGTAAGGTCCAGTGAATCTGTAACATGTGAAATTTCAGGTGGTATATTTCTATTGAAATATCCAGTACACGTTGATTAACAACAGTATCCCTAACTGCGTTGTCCGATGCTGATAATGTCAATCACTGGATTGTGTGGTCAAATATCTACAGATTGACATCACGTTGCCAGAATATTCCTGAGCCGGGTGTCAAAACAAACAAAGATCCTAACTTTCTAGGAGAATATGAGTGAATACCATGTCAATCATCCTAACAAAATATCCTAACTGCAAAGACCGATACACCTCATGTCAGTAACTAACTTGTGTGGTCCAGATTCAGTTATGTGCTATTTGTATAGCAGGATTAGGGATGGGTACAACTGAACAAACAAACACAGACCATGTATTACTATGTGAATACCACCAGAACGACATACAGCATTCGTTACCTGTATAATACTGCCAGCCTGCCTCTTGTTCACCCCCAGTGATGACGGATGAATAGTACGACCGGCAACGTTGAGACGCTGGATTGTGCAGTACCATGTTGCACTGCAGATTACGAAGACACCACCACAAGCATGCAGGTTTGTCAGGAACACTGCGTTCAGCGATGAAGGTGTCATTGAACATTTGTCCATCCAAACTTCCATGATGGTTAAATGTCAGAATGCCACATGACTGTGAACCTAAACTGTAAGTCATGGTGATGGCGAGAACTAGATGAACAACTTCCCACACAGCCATGCCCTTGCTTCTTGATTCTGGGAATAAGTCCGCGTAGTTAGATAGTCTGTATTAATCGATGGTATGACGTAAGTATTGACCACACGCTGGGTTACGTTTTAAATAAGTTACATGGCTCTGTTCACAAACCGATCACTGATTCAGTTATTGCGTGATTATCATTGAGGAGAAACGTCCTTGCCATAACAATCTGCAAAGATATGTTTTATGTTTTAATAAGTTTCACTTAATGAACGGACGTCTGACAATGAGGTGCACTGCTTGGCATCAATAGTGGCAGGTTCGATTATTAAATCTTTTTTGTTGCAGTCTTTCAAGCTGCCGGAGTACTTGTTCTGGTGCCGCCATTGTGGTCTGCATTAAGTAGACAAGAGGGTTGATGACAAAGTACTTCCTGGTAAAGTCTTCATCGTGACAAACACATGCACCACAATAAACAAGTAACAAAGTCCGTTTGTGTAATATATAGAGGGTCAATTTCAGCTGTGAAAGCTATCCAGGAAAATACATTCTGAAAGTGAACACCCGTAAGAAACTACGAAAAACATGCAGAAGTAATGATTTATTTTCATACGTACAAATATGCAAATCATTACTCGGAGAAGGAGATGGGCTGAGAAATAGTTCATGCAGGAGTCAGATTGTTACATGGTAACGAAAGAGTGCCCAATCAATCATTTACCTGAGCCGTTTGTACGATTCCGCCTATATTATGTGCATGGGAGATAATGCAGTGTAATATTTTTTTACGGCGATGTTACACCAGTGTAATGGTTTACAAGTATGATGTCACAATGCTAATCCCCTGTCACAATGGCATTAGACCTTGCTTGACTCGCGTAAAGCTGACTCATCACACTGTAGGCAGTATCTATCTATTTATGTTAGAGAGTTATAAACAGAACACTTAACCCGCTTCCTTGGGATACCAATTTTCGCTCGTTTGATACCAACTCATTAACTCGTTTAATAAAACTGGTATTCCACGGAAGGTCGTTTAGTATCCTCTATCTATCACATTACACAGTATCTAATTGTGTAAGTCTTTTGAGATGGGCTTTTTCACTAAGCATGAAGCACTTACTGCATTTGTTTACATTAGAATCTTTATTATTAAAAGCATTACAGAAATGAACACCTCATTGACAGTGATGTACATGTCTATATTCTAAGCCGAGAATATCTTAAATCGATTCACGTAAAGAAACAGAATCAATGAAAGATGAAAGTGTAATGAAGAAACAAATGAAAATCGACTACACTGACATATAAAATAATAATAAACTTCTTGTTACTCCGTCGAGACAGATTGATTCAATCAGTAAGATGTTGGGATATGTCTGTAAATGGCAGATGGTTCCATAATTGAATACTCATATAACAAAACATGGCAGCTCAGTAATATTGTCTCAGTCGATCAAACGAGCCTTAAGGTCTCATGCATTGAAGTGACAATACATCATCTCTTACGTCAAGTTGTAAGACCAAATAAATCTAGATGGACGTATAGAAACTCGCGATGATACAGCTCTAACAGTGCTTATGTATAGCAATGAATTTCAGTGTCGATTATCTGCTGAAACAAATTCCATTGGATGTTAATGGCAAAATATATATTAACATTGAATGAATATGAACTGATCGCTGAAACTGAACAGTATATGTTTCGATTATTATTTCTACAAGAGTTGCTGTAGGTATTGTGTCAATCCAACCGGGGAAGCTACTGTTTGTTTCCACGTATGTATATCTTCCCTTTGTTTCTTATCACTGTATGGATTTTATAGATACCATATTCCTGAAACACAGCCGATGTGAGTTTAAGTTTTAACTCACTCAATTCTTGTTCTGGTGAGGAGATGTTTGCGAAGGGCTAACATTCCCGAACATGACCATCATAATATACCTGTACCATCAATTTGGCATTTGGTTTACTTCTATATTTAAGCTCAATTAATGTCGTGAATTTATCAAATATCACAACTTGTCTTGTCGATTAAGGATATTTGATGATTATATTTTTAGCATGTCAGAAATTTGACAAAAAGTAACAAAAATGATTTCCATGGGTGTTCAGTGGTTTTCCGAATTAATTGAAATAGTCAAAGATTGGTCGCAGTGACCAAATGACCAAGCAATCGATCACATTTTCTTATAATCAAACTCGAACAATTTTGGAGCAACTGTTTTAGTATTTGAAACACTTGACGATGGAACATATCTTAGAATTTGTCAGGGCCCGAAAACGTGTTTAATTGTCAGAAAAATCAGTTTACTAACTGAAAAGTCAAGACTGAATATTTCTTGACGACTCTGGGAACTTTATGTTTATGTCCTCACTTTAAAATAGCAAGGTGCATTATTTTACATTGCGTGTTAAATTTGCAAATGCAATTTGCGCAGTTTCTACATAAAGCAAAAGACAACAGAGAACTATGTTATACTTATCTGCAATAACAACCTTAACACATACATTGTAAAACTGACCATAAACATACTTCTTTAATTATTGCTCGTTGGTAATGAAATAATTATCAATTGTAAGATTTCGAACACTAATTACCAGCATGTCAGAAATTTGAAATTCATGATGACGAAGTCAATATCTATCGTATCAGGAAATTTGACATTAATTATTTGTATATCCTGATTATGGATATTTGATCTACACTTGTTTGATGATGTCAGTACCAGTCTCTAGGGTATCAGAACATTTCACAAAAATGTTTTCCTTCATGAAGGCTTAATGTTATTGCCAAATGTATCAAACTCAAAATAATATTTGTATTGTATATTTTTTACTTATTTATAGTTTATCTGCACTCGTTTGATGACTGTGAAGTCAATGTAAAGGGAGACGGCCTCTTGCAGAGGTAACCTTCTGGGAACATCGAACAGACTGTCGTCATCGTCGGATATCTGAAAAAGACACAAAAAAATTCAATTTCATTAAAGTGACTGGTCAGCTGTAAAATGAGGCCATACTTTCTCATTACACTGACACTACCAGCACAAATGTATACCTTGAGTATACCTTGAGCACATTTACATCTTTAATTGTTTTCTCAGCGTGAAGGTGGGTAGCACAGTGGTTAAAGCGTTCATTCTTCACTCTGAAGACCTAGGTTCGTTTCCCCACACGAGAACATTGTGTGAAGCCCACTTCCAATGTCCCAAGCTGTTGCTTAAAATCGGCGTGAAAGCAGACTAACTCACTCACTCAGCGCAATTACTATAATCAGAAGGCTATTGAACAATCTATATTTTCAAGACTCACACACTACACCACACCCCCAACCCCCAAACACACACACACACACCCAAACTCACTCACTCACTCAACAGTGGTGTAGTAGCACAGTGGTTATGTGTCATGCCATTATAAAGGTTCTGAGGTTCACCACCGTGATTTAGATTCAGTCCTCCTCATTGACTAAGTTCCTAAACAGATGCTGCAGCACACCTCATTTGCATGTTTGTAGTGTCACATATCCTGCCAGAACCTACCAGAAACTGAGTCTCAGTCATCTTGATTGAGAGGACTGACGTCACTTTTGGTGTGAGCACGGGGTTGAAAAACCTCACTTCAGCTCCCCATGTGAAGGACGCCCCTGCAGTATTGTAGATGATGGTATAGGGCGACCACCGAACAGTCAGATAAAACACAGCCTTATCGTCATCCTTGGCCAACAGAAACATTACAGGGCTGAAAAAGATGCATTTACCAGATATGAAACCATAACTCAAACGTTCTCTGTAATTTGTTTTAGTCTTAGATGAGGTATTGGTTTGTTGGGTCAGCATCGGTCTATGCAACTGAGATATAACAGTCATCAACCAAGTCAGCTGGCCTGATCCTGTTTGTCACCTCTCACAACAAGTATGCTTGCTGAAGGACGACTCTGTGGTGGCTGACTTGAAATGGATGACTTTTTCCCATTAAGGTCACACACTCACATGATTAGAAACATCCACAGGCATTAAAAAACACACTTATTAAAATGTTGACTATTGTACACTTCACAAACACATACCTGTTGACTCCATCTGCGGCTGCCTCCACGACAATCTCCGCACCACTAGACAGGGGAGCAGGAAGAGACGTCCTGAATGCTGGCACCTGTTGTAAAGAAGACAGTGAGCAGGTGTGTGTTACATAACAACTAGACAGGGGAGCAGGAAGAGGCGTCCTGAATGCTGGCACCTCTTGAAAAGAAGACAGTGAGCAGGTGTGTGTTACATAACAACTAGACAGGGGAGCAGGAAGAGACGTCCTGAATGCTGGCACCTGTTGTAAAGAAGACAGTGAGCAGGTGTGTGTTACATAACAACTAGACAGGGAAGCAGGGGGAGACGTCCTGAAAACTGGCACCTGTTGTAAAGAAGACAGTGAGCAGGTGTGTGTTACATAACAACTACACAGGGGTGCAGGAAGAGACGTCCTGAATACTGGCACCTGTTGTAAAGAAGACAGTGAGCAGGTGTGTGTTACATAACAACTACACAGGGGAGCAGGGGGAGAGGTCCTGAATACTGGCACCTGTTGTAAAGAAGACAGTGAGCAGGTGTGTGTTACATAACAACTAGACAGGGGAGCAGGCAGAGACGTCCTGAATACTGGCACCTGTTGTAAAGAAGACAGTGAGCAGGTGTGTGTTAAATAACAACTGGACAGGGAAGCAGGGAGAGGCGTCCTGAGTACTCGCACCTGTTGTAAAGAAGACAGTGAGCAGGTGTGTGTTACATAACAACTAGACAGGGAAGCAGGGAGAGGCGTTCTGAATACTGGCACCTGTTGTAAAGAAGACAGTGAGCAGGTGTGTGTTATGTAACAACTAGACAGGGGAGCAGGCAGAGACGCCCTGATTACTCGCACCTGTTGTAAAGAAGACAGTGAGCAGGTGTGTGTTACATAACAACTAGACAGAGGAACAGGGAGAGGCGTCCTGAATGCTGGCACCTGTTGGAAAGAAGACAGTGAGCAGGTGTGTGTTACATAACAACTAGACAGGGGAGCAGGAAGAGGCGTCCTGTCCTGAATGCTCGTACCTGTTGTAAAGAAGACAGTGAGCAGGTGTGTGTTACATAACAACTAGGTGGGTTAGCAGGGAGATACGTCCTGAATACTCGCACCTGTGGTAAAGAAGACAGTGAGCAGGTGTGTGTTACATAACAACTAGGTGGGTTAGCAGGGAGATACGTCCTGAATACTCGCACCTGTTGTAAAGGAGACAGTGAGCAGGTGTGTGTTACATAACAACTAGGTGGGTTAGCAGGGAGATACGTCCTGAATACTCGCACCTGTGGTAAAGAAGACAGTGAGCAGGTGTGTGTTACATAACAACTACACAGAGGAACAGGGAGAGACGACCTGAATACTGGCACCTGTTGTAAAGAAGACAGTGAGCAGGTGTGTGTTACATAACAACTAGACAGGGGAGCAGGAAGAGGCGTCCTGAATACTCGCTCCTGTTGTAATAAAGACAGTGAGCAGGTGCGTGTTACATAACAACTAGACAGGGATGAGGTACTGAATTATCACACCTGTTTTAAAGAAGACACGTGTTGAATAGCGACTTGGTAATATCATCACCCGATCCCCTTAGTCGCCTCTAAAGACAAACATGGGTTGCTGAAGACCAAATCTTTCTCTGATCTTCACTTGTATTATTAACAGTAAAACGTGAAGTGATGTATGCATGGAAATATGTATAGACATGTGGTAGGTTTCCAGACATGTATCACTGTACCGGGTCAATCCAGAGGGTCTGCATGCACCGTCCTATGTCTAATGGTACGTTGTCATGGAAACATTTGCCTGACGTGGTCGGTAGATAGGAGAATCCGTTGGAGCAGCTGACATCCTCGTGGGTCTGGTTCCTCATCACCGAGAGGGCATTCAGGATCCGGAAGTCGCTGCAGGCAACTAAACACAACACAGATTCCACATCAGTCTTGTCATGAATTCTTGTTGGTAATTCTGACCTGTCAATACAGTGCTGAAACAATAGTAGTAAATAATATTTTGCTGCACAGTGAGATCTTTTACAGCCTGATTCCCAGTTACCTTATCGTTTCAACTTGGAATCAACAGGTTACACGAGGGATGACATTATTTCTGGTTTGGAATGAAAGCACATTTCTAATGCTGTGTCATTTTACAGGAGGACCCACCCCTAAAGCTTGCATGGAAGAAAAGTTCTGGTAAATATTAAATATTCTATACAGGCCTCTCTGTTATTTAAAACTGACGAGCATATGATGATTACCGACATAGCAACATTGGATACAATAATCATATTCCTGTTGCGCCCTAGGTACGCAACTCCCAGTGAATTAGAAGACTTGGCCAACCGTGCTTCAGTTATACATAGTGAATTTGTTCGGTCCAATACATATTGACAAAGCAGTTTACGTGATGTGGGGGGTAATTAATGATAAATAAATCCATAGAGGTCATAAATAATAAACAATAACAACAGAGATGTGTAGTCTATAACTGTTTTTATTGATAATTAGGTTGGGTCTGTTGGGTCTTGAATTAATAAAACTGTAGATGTTGTAGCAAGATATTAATACAATCAACAACGGCCCTAACGAACTCAAAGGGTTAATTTCGTTATAACCACGGTTCGTTTTACGCCTTTGTTATATCTGTCAGTTCAGAGCGTTCGTATTAAACGTAGTTCACTGAACAAAGAGTTAAAGACGTTGTTGGTTTGAACGTGTGACTGATGACACTATTATGTTGTAAAAGACACACAAACATTTTTGACAGGGGACACAGTTTCAATTGATGGATATGGCCAAGCCACTGTTACTTCCAGTGAAGGCGAGGGGAGGTACATCTGTTTCATAGACGGAATTGGCGGTATTATTCAATGTGACAACATGCTTTATCATCAAATACTGGTTTCCAGAGGAGATATCGCTTGTAGAAGATCAAGCCACTACAATTAAGACATTAAGAGACTTTGGCATCTGTCGCATCAAGAAAACACGTCGAGGCTACCGTGGCGGACGTTGTCAACAACGGGGAGGTTTCACGTCTCTCTTCAATGAAACTAAAACACTTAATTGGATCATGTACATACAAGGTACATACTTTGAAGTTTAGCACTATCAACTCAAGATCAGCTAAAACCTATGATTCCTCGACTGATAAGGCTCATAAGAAAGTAAGAATATTTATGGATAACAACTTCTTTATTATATATGATGCTGTTATCCATAAATATTCTTACTTTCATTAGTCACCAACTTCTAAATGCCAATCAAACAGATGATAAGGCTCAGTCATTGTGTGATCTAATTGTAGACAATAACCTTGATGTTCTGGCAGTGAAGGAAACATGGTTACGTAAGGATGACACAGATCAGATTGCCATTGGCAAAATGACTCCTCCTGGATTCAAGTGCATTCAGGTGCCAAGGAATATCAAGAGAGGAGGAGGCGTGGCCATTGTATATAGAAAAACTCTACAGTGTTTAAGGATAAAACTCACAAATTGGGAGTCGTCCTGTGAAGTTCTAGCAGTGACACTATCTGTAGATAATCAATCCATAACCCTGATTGTGGTTTACCGTCCACCTGGGCAAGAAGCAACTTTCATTCAATCTTTCCCTTTGCTGCTTGACAGCATTGTGACACTTCCTGGAAAGTTACTCATGTGCGGTGACTTCAATCTTCATGTTGATATGCCACAGAGGAAAGACGTTGTAAGGTTCAATAATCTTCTTCAATCTCACGGTTTGCACCAGCATGTAAAGGAGCCCACCCACAGCAAAGGACATATTCTGGATCTAGTTATTACTAGAGACAATGAGCTTGACATCACCGATGTCACACTGGACCAGTTAAGTGGGATCACTTTGCCGTTCTGTTCAACACGAACATCATTGACCCCAGGCGAGAAATACAAGAATTAGTGTTCAGAAGATGGAAAACTATCAATATGCCTAGCTTCAAACAAGATCTCGACAATGCCCTGGTACATCATGGGAACAGATCCGCTGATGAAAGTGTTGATCTGTACAATGAGGCATTGAAGGAAACTTTGGATAAGCATGCACCACAGGTATCAAAGAAAGTTACAATACACCAAAATGCCGCTTGGTACAATGACAACATACGCAATGAAAAACAGAAACGCAGAAAACTAGAACGACAAATGAGACCGACTGGACTTTCCATTCACAAACAGTTTTTCAATATCCAAAGGAATATGGTTACCTGTTTGATAGAAAAAACCAAGAGATGCTGTTTTGTTGAGCAGTTAAATGGAGCTTCTAATGTTAAAGAGGTTTATCGACTTTCAAACAAGCTCTTGTTCAAGAAAACAGATAAAGTTCTACCAACCTTTGATGCACTGAATGAACTCGCAAACAAGTTTGCAAAGTACTTCAAAGAGAAAATTCAAGTTATAAGGACATGTTTGGAAAATCTCCAATCTGATACCTCGCCTGCATACAGCGAAGATATAGACTTTTGTGATTTTCCCCACTGGCCTTTTTCGGTGATACAACTGAAAAAGAAGTGGGTGAGATAATTAAGATGAGTCCGGGTAAATCATGTTCCCTAGACCCCGTGCCAACATGGTTCCTAAAGGAGTGCCTTGACTCTGTTGCTCCTATCCTGATGCACACAATAAACACATCTTTCTCAGAAGGATCAATGCCACTGTCAATGAAGGAAGCTCTTGTCAGTCCTCTCATAAAGAAGAGCCAGCTTGACTCTGAGATAATGAAGAACTACAGACCAGTATCTAACCTGTCGTATTTCTCAAAACTCATGGAGCGTGTTGTTGCATCAAGACTCAAAGAGCACATGGAATCAAACTGCTTGTTTGAAGTTATGCAATCTGCATATCGGCAAGGGCACAGCACCGAGACGGCGCTAGTTCGTGTGAAAATGATTTATTGTGTGCTGCTGATTCTACAGGAGGAGCCATCCTAGTTTTACTGGACCTATCCGCTGCGTTTGACACGGTAAACCACGGCATCTTAATCTCCATTCTTGAACGTAGGATCAGGGTCACTGGTCTAGCGTTAAAGTGGATCAGATCGTACTTATCAAACCGACATCAGTCAGTGTGTATTAATGGAGCAATCTCGGCGAAGGAAGAACTTCAATTTGGAGTACCTCAAGGGTCAGTCCTCGGTCCGATTCTGTTTGTCATTTATACATCACCACTTGGAGACATAGGCCGATCACACAACCTTGCTTTTCACTTGTACGCAGACGATACCAAACTCTACCTAGGTTTCAAGCCTCTGCAGTCGTCATCCTGCGATGCAGCATGTTCGGCAATTCAAAATAGTATTGCTGATATCCAAAAATGGATGACCAGACATTTCCTGAAGCTGAATCAAGACAAAACAGAAATGCTCATTCTCTGTTCAAGTTCAGCACGACAAAGGTTGTCTTCAATAAGTTTCGAAATTAATGAGTGTATCATTGAACCAACTGATCATGCTCGCAATCTTGGGGTGATATTTGACAGCACTATTAGCCTTGAAAAGCACGTCAATAAAATGTGCAAGAATGCCTACTATTTCATCCGCAACATAGGCTTAATCAGGAAGTACATCAACCAGCAAACTGCTGCAACATTGATGCAAGCATATGTAGTATCTCGGTTGGACTATTGCAATGCTCTGCTGCAGGGGATTCCAGAATATCTTCTGAGCAAGTTACAGAGAGTCCAGAACTCAGCTGCCCGAGTTGTGACACGCACAAAGAAGACAGAACATATAACACCTGTTCTGATCACATTGCACTGGTTACCCATCCGACAACGTATCCATTACAAAATATTGATACTGATGTTCAAAGCCTTGCACAACATGGCACCAGTTTATCTCTCAGACCTTGTGCAAGAATATCAACCAACACGCCATCAAACGACAACCAGTTGGCATCCATAAACTGGAGTCGTTCATGAAGCGTATGTCAACAGCAGTTGGTCTGTCAAATAACAGAAATCTTACGAATCACAGTGCCCGAAAGCACAACAATGTCCCGCCATAACTATTCTCACATCAGTGATGCACAGCACACCGAGATATCCTCCATTCTCTCAAACTCAAATTCTTCAGTTTCAGGTCAGCTGGCCTCATGTTGTAGCGAAGCAAGGAGGGATGTAAACAAAGCCCCGGCACCCCGACTGTTGCTTGTCCATGACATATGCCTCCAACACTACTTGTGTTTCTAGCAAGAGAAACCACCTCCAGTCAGTATTTGGCTCAAGGTACATGCAGGGGGGTCTTTCACCGTAAATGTCAACAACTTTTCGTCTGACAAGCGTCGTAGACCTGTCATTGAAAGTGACACTGACTCCGAGTGAAGTGTTGCTACCGACATGCTTGGTTTCGGACTGACTTGTGGGGGAGATTTGAAATGTTTGGAAGTTTCTTCTTTGAGAAGTGATAGATAGACCACTAGCGCCCCAAGCAGGACCACCTTCCTTGGGATCAAGGGGACTTACGATGCTTCTGCTTCCTGCAAGATTCCCACGAGGATTTACGCCATCAGTTTGGCCACTCGTGGTTGTATGCAAGACTAACCAGTTTAAAAATATTAAACTTCAATCAAGCAATTAAATCACTAGTCGATGTTATATATTTCCATTACATGATGTCACTGTCACTGGGACACAGAGCATTTTAATATTCTACAACTCTCCACTGACGCAGAGAACATTATAGACAGGTTTGGTGCCTTTTCCTAGGTATATAAGAGGAGCTCACTCTTGACTCTCATCTCACATTACGTCTCAAGTTTTCTTGGACAATTTTGCAGTGAGTAAATAATATTATTTCTGTCTCTATTGACATAATCACCGTTTTTGTATTATACCAAGGTCAAGGGTTCTGTCTTGGAACTTTAAGGACCTCTCCAGTAGACAGCCTGTAAGTGGGGGTGAA